ACGACTGCCTCCTGGTCCAAGTATAAGTTTCGCATTAGAACGATCAAGTGTTCTGGGATTCCCATTCTTCTCAGAGTCAGCCACAGTTTGTTTGACTACATACCTTTATGTCAGCAGCTCAGAACTTCATTATTGTGTGTGCTACCATCTAATCTACAACAGCTGGGTTGGAACCAACTCATAGCTGACCCTCTGGAGGGTTTTTGGAGGCTGTGAATTACATAAAGAGAGACTGCTCACCCTGAGAGTGGCTTGAGGATTTGAACGAGAGAGGCACCACATTAGAGTAAGCAAAATTCTCTCCACATTATACCACCAGAGCCCACTGTCTACGTTATTGTTATTAGGTGCATTTGAGTTGTGTACAACTCATGATGACCCTATGAACCCTGTCCTATCCTGGGCCAGCCTCTTCATTTCTGCCCTTTGCTGAAGTCACTGTGTCAATCCATCTCAGTGAGGGTTTTCTTCTTTTGTCGACTCTCCACCTTTCCAAGCATTAATGTCCCTTTCCGAGAAATAGCCTCTCCTAGCAATATGTCCAACGCATGTGAGATGATGCTTTGCCATCTTTATCTCCAAGGAGCACTCTGGCTGCACTTTCTCCAAGACATATCTACTTATTCTTTGGTCAGTCCATGGAATGACTATTCAGCTTCGGCACTTACTGAAATGCAAATTCTTGGTAGCACTTCAGGTCTATTATTACATCAGAACTGGATGAACTAGGCTTTTTCATGTGTCTCTAATGTCCCTCTTCCACATACTTCTTTTAGTATGACAAGAAGTCAAAACAGACCTACTAAATAGCATATATAAGAAATACTTCATGCTTTCTATTAATTGCAGGTGTTTACTTTCAGAGACCAGGTAAAAAAATGCTCTAAAGTCTCATGTAATTACCTAAATGCTCATGTAATAGGCATTTTCCTATTTAACCACAAAGATGTCTTTTTTGGATTTTCACTATAAAAAGCAAACATTTTATATTGACACAAGTAGTTTACAATCAGCTGTAACCTAAAAGTTGATGGTTGAGAGTCACTGAGCAGGATAGCCTGGTGATGTGCTTTCACAGAGATCACATACAGCCAAGAAAATAACCTGAGCTGTCTCATTCCGCAACACACTTCCAGTTATCCAGAGTTGAAATCAACTCAGTAGTACCATTTTTGTTGTTCAGTCAACATCTCATGTGCTCCCTTTCCTACTGATGGACTCAGTGTCTTTTACCCAGCTATCTGAGAAATCTTGAGAGATGGTTCAAAATTCTCTCTCTCTAAAAAAATCATCTTCAAGGCAATCATCTTTCAAGACCATTTATTTTCTCTCTGCAGTTAAGTATGGAGTATTTAACTTCATACAACGGCTGTCCAAAGACTTTTTTTCTTTTTCATGTGATTTAGCTACCTCAATTTTTTTGCCATTTTCATGAAAGTTTATAGAGCTTTAAAATTTCTATTCATTCACTGTTGCACCATTTTCCTCCCTGCACACTCCTACCCCCAGTCGGTTTCTCTCTTTGAAAAGTAAAAAAACTCAACTTTCGTTATTATACAATCTCCCCCCAGTCCACTACAATGCAGCTCTCATTCTTCTACCTCAACTTTTGTTTCTACGCCAATTTTTTCTGATCAAATACTGTCATCTGCATACAAACCTCAAATATTTAACACACCTGTTGAGTCCTAATAAACACTGGCTTTCTCCCTCCCCCAAATCACTCAACCACAGTACCGTGAAGGCAAGACCAGTGAGAACCAGACCACTCCCCAGTCCCTACCCTCACCCCCCACCATGAGCTCCGGTGGCATAGTGGAAAGGAGTTGTACTGCCAACCCAAAAGCATGAGGTCTGAATCCATCAGCTGCTCTAAAGAAACAGGTTAATCTCTCCACATAATTTACTGCCTCTGAAAAGCCCCTGGAGGGTCAGCTGGGAGGCCTTAACAACAACCGCTCCCCCTCACTGGCAACCTGGGTGAGTCACCAACTTCTCAAATGTCTCATCCTCCAACTCTCAACGAGTTTAAGATCATTCACTGATGCCCCATTTAACATGTTTCAAAGAAATAATGCATGCAAGGTTCTCCACAGATTCCTTAGTAAAGATTCCCAAGGAACTCTTGTTAGAAACACAGGTTCTTCCACTTCCCTGGTAGCTGTGATGTAGGTAGGAATGGGGTGGGGCTGAGAAATCAGGCAGGACTTGCTCTGTGGTAAAGAGGGTTCTACAAACTGGGGCTACTCCAAGCACTCCAGGTGATGGTTCCCAACCAACCACATCAGAAACTGGGAGGACGGAGACTCTGATCGTCCAGACTAGATGAAAAGATCAGGAACAAGAAGATACATTGATATGATATGAACCAAATACACACAGATCCCTTTAAAATGTGCAATCTATAGGGTCGCTATAAGCAACCCGATGGCACATAACAAGAATGTAAAAGCAGCAACTACTCAGAAACCATAATCTTCACCCAGCCTCTACGGAGACAAAAGTAGGGGTCGCTTTTACAAATCATTAGGTAACTAAATACTCCACTGTCCCAATTCTACAAGAGCCTCTCCTAGCACTGAAATATCTGCAAGAGGCAAAACAAATGTTCTCTGCTTAACTCACCAACCTTTAGCTAAAATTCGTCGTAGCTCTTACAATGGAAGTGAGAGAAAACTCAAGTTGCTTCAAACAAAGGGGTGTGTGTGTTTTGAGTGTGTCAATTCAGTATTATGGGGCGTGCGTGTGTGTGAATTCAGTATGGTTTACGGGTGTATATGGGTGTGCGTCTGGATTCAGTGTTATAGGCCATAGGATTCAATCAGCCCACATACTCCCTTCTCCTGGTCCCACTGTCCCTCCCAGGGAGAAAGGGACAGCGTGGGCTCACGGAGAGCTGGTTCAGAGCAGCGCCAGAAGCAGGAACCGCACGGAGGCGAAAGGATAGGAGGAGGTGAAAGGCGAGTGAAAAGGCCGCGAGTAGGCAGCAATCAGAGCAACCCCGGCGGCCTCTGCCCCTGAAGATGCGCCGCCGGGGCTCATGGACCCGGAGGCGAAAAGGCGACAGCGGTGGCCATTACCTGCGTCTGAGCAGCCGCGGCGGGGCCAGGACCGCAGGGAGCTCCTCGCAGCTACGGCCGCCCAGCAGCGGAGTCCACGCCTGGCCGCAGCCCCAGCCTCTCCGCGTCCAGCCTCGCCACGCCATCTTCCCAACCTCTGCCCCACCATGGCCCGACCTTAACAACCTCAGCGCGGAACCACTTCCGGGGCAAAGGAGGACCATAGAGCCCCAACGAGCAGCCTACAGCGCCTCCGTGCGGCGGAACGGAGGCTGCGCCAGCCCAAAGGCCCTGGACCGCTAGGGGCCCGCTAATCTCACCTTACCTCTCCACAGCGGCGCAGAGCCTGTACCTGAAAGGATGGGAGGGCCTCGCCCCCGTCTGCAGGTCTCTAAACTGATAGGAAAGAGAAGGAAAAACGAATAGTTCTTAAGTGATACCGTGACTAGGAATTGTAACTAAGCTATTGCATTGAACAGTCACAAAACACCCCTTAATGTAGATGCTCTCATCACCTAAGTACCCTGGCACAGATATGTGGGACTTGCCAAAAGTTTCATTTTTTTCTTACATTACCACTCTTTCATGTTATCATGCTACAATGCTGAATATGATATGTTACCTCGAGTTTTAATAACCAAAAAAATCCAAGATTGAAATGAAAATACGGTTTTCTAGATAAAAGTCACATTTCTTCATAACTCAGCTCTTGCCTACTTGTCAGGGGGTGGCTGCAGGCCAGAATCTTCACAACCTCCAGAGGGAGGCAAGGGTAGGTCCAGCAATAAAGGTGGCATGATGCCAGGGCCCTGGACCTGCAAAGTCACTCTGACAAGTATTGTGTAACAATGATTTAGCAAGAAGTGGGCTAGCAGCAAGCAAGAGTGTAGCAATGGAGCCTAGCAAAAGCCTGTTCCTCTGCAGTTCACACCTCGAGGCTCTAACAATCTGTTGTTGTTAGGTGCTAGGATGTGAATAGAACTCATAGTGACCCTATAAACAATAGATTTGAATTCTATCCTATCCTGTGCCATTCTCATAATCTCTGCAAGCTAGCATGCCACCATCTTCCCTAAGGTTCTTGAGGGTCCCAAGGGGAGGCGTCACCACTAGGTAGGAGAGACAGGGAGCATTGCTACAGCCAGAGACGCAGACCACAGCAGTAATGTATCAATGTATTATAGGATATTACAAGCTCAGCAAAACACCAAGGCACAGGAAAATACCAATTCCCAGAGAAAACCTGACCAGCTAGAAGGAAAGGAAGAAATCCAGGCAGCTATAGCAGACTAGCCATCACATGTGTGATCCTAACAAACAAGTAATGTCCTGTGTCAGTCTGTCTCTTTGAAGATACTCTTCTCTCAGCAATCAAGAAATCATAAGTTCCATTGAAGTGGAACCAGCCCATAGTTGATCCTGCAGTGGGTTTTCAGAGGAAGTAAATCCCACAGGTGCTCATCTTTCTCCCGCAGAGCAGTTAGTGGGATTTGAACAGAGTGTCTTAGGATTGGCAGTATAATTCCTTAACATTGAGCTGACATTCAGACTTCACTACGGCACATGACTCACCTTGGGCATGACTATCAGACTATGCAGAGCCATGCCCTTCTGAAGGACTAACTGTATTACTTGATTGATTTCAGCAGTTAAGAGCTACAAATTTCCTTGCAGTCTTTCAGGGTCTGTTTAGTGAAACCGGTCAATGCTTCAACTTGTCTCGATGATTACCGAAGGGCCAAGAGAAGGGAATAAGAACAGTTAAAATGTAATCATACTAGTCCAGTTCATTGGTCTTGGTTCACCTCACTTCATCTCTTTTAAAACACTTCTCAATCATTTTACAACTGAGTACACACTCTCAAGTTTAACTTTTACTCTCTTGCACATTCTGGGAATTTCATAACACTTATTTGTGTTTATGTAGAACTTGTACATAAACCAAGAAGCAGTCATTTGGACAGAACAAAACAAATCAGGAAAGGTTTGCTTCGGCTTTGTTTCCTTTCTCCACATCTATGAATCTGTATGCTGAGCTAGGAATTTGAGACTCTGCACTTTATGAAAAATACCGGCGACTCATCACCAACCTGTGATGCACAGATAACACAATCTTGCTCAAAGTGAAGAGAACTTGAAGCACTTACTAAAGAAAAGGAAACATCATAGTCTCAACATAAAGATAACACAAATTCTCAAACTGGACCAGTAAGAAACATCATGATAAGTGGAAAAAAAGATTGAAGTTGCCAAGGGCTTAATTTTACTTGGGATCCACAATCAATACCAATGGAAATTTTGTTGTTGCTGTGAAGTGCCATCAAGTTGAGTGTGATGCACAGTGACACTATGAACATACATCTGAACTCAGTCCTATCCTGTACCATCCTCATCTTCTCTGGCACACATGAGCTCTTCGCTGCAGTCACTGTGTCAGCCAGTCTCATTGAGGATATTCTTCTCTCAACAATCAAGAAATCAAAAGGTATGTTATGCTGGGAAATCTGCTGTTAAAGACATCTGAGTTCTAAAGGTCCAGGATTTAACTTTAAAGCGTACCTGACCTAAGCCATGGTAGGCATCTGAAAGGTGGACAATGAATGAGGAAGGCCAAAGAATTGATACCCTTGAATTGTGGTGTTGGGGAAAACAATACTGAACAAACCATGAACTTGCAGAAGAATAATAATTAAAAAAATTTCTCTTTGAAGAAATTCAGCTGGAATGCTTCTTAGAGGTGAAGATGATGATACTTTGATGAAAATTTGGGTCCATTGTTAGAAGGGGCCAGTCCCTGGAAAGGGCATCATGCTTGCAAGAGGAGAGGTGAAGCAAAGGAGAAGACTCTCAATGGGACCGATCGCACAGTAACGGTTTGAGCTCAGCAGAGATTGTGAGGATGGCGGGATGTCATTCTGTTATGAGGTAGAGACAACTTAACAACACTTCACAAAAACAGCAACAACAACAGCAACCTGGCACAACTAGGCATTTTACCTTTTTTTTTTTAACATTTCCACTCTTTGTTTATTTTTCACCTTAATATAAAGACTAAACTTAAGTGAAATGCTAGTCTTTCAGTTTTCAGCTCATGAGATATTGATGAGTTTCCATGTGTCCATGGGGGAAAGGTGAGGTGGGGAACTCAGAGTGAAGTATGGGGGAGGACTGTCCCTCCTCCACTCTCCCTCCTCTGCATCTTCATAGGCATTATACTTTTTTTAAAATTTTTTTTTCATGTTTT